CGTGAACTCTTTCCCATTGTACACTTAGCCACCTGGCTGGCCTTTCTCTTCTCCCAGGAGCTTCCATGACTTTCCTACATATGTATTATGTCAACTGGGATGAATATTTTATGCTTAGAGTGCAGCCAAGCCTCAGACTTTGTGGCCCATTATCGACAAGAGGGGTGGGGGCTGGGCGCCACCTTTGGCCCCATCATAGCTCTTCTAAATGGACTCTCCGCCACCCCCCTCCCCACCCCCCCAGCAGCACTTTGAAGCCCATTAATGGATCGGGATGAAGTAACCTCAGCAGATGGAAAGGGCGAGGAGGGTGGTTGTCCTTCCTTCCCCAAGACTGCCTGATGAGGCTTTCCTGCAGTCACCAGGCACCCCCCCCCCCCGCTCCAGCCCCTGCTGCCTGGTTAAGCTGTAGACTGGGGCTCCTAGAGGCCGCTGCGGTGAGAGGAGATGGAGAAAGGGTTCAATTCTCTCGGAGCTGGTGGTGCTGCCAGTTTTGCCACTTGCTTAGCAAGGCAAAAATAGAGGGATGGGGAAAGGGTGGGTGGAGTTTAAACCTAGGCCTTCCTCCTCTAGCGGAAGTTCAGCAAAGTGACAAACCAGATAGGTGGTTGAGTTTCCTTCTCTTGATGGGAGATGCCAGCATTTGTACCTTTTTGCACTTCTAGCTTGGATTCTCCAGGCTTTCTCACAGCCTTCATCAAACACGAGTGAGTCACCGCAGTGTTATCTGTGCATTTTCCCCTTCTGTCTCAGCAGAGGGAAGAGTAAGCCTTTACAAACTTTGTGGGGGAGGAAACCACCCATTTCCACTTCTGGCATGGGAAGAGGCCATCTCTCTCGACGTTAACTCTGAAAGCTCTAGCTCTCGGAGCAGAATGTCACCACCCCACCACAGCCCTTTTGGTGTTGGCCGCTGAGTGCCTTTGCTGTCCTTTGGGCTGCCATGGTGCATCTGATTCTGAAACAACACCATGAGAGAACCTGACCTCTCGGTTTCCAGTGATCCTTCAGTGAAGAGGGGATCCCGGTTCCTTCTCTTGCCCACTAGGCCTGCTCATCCTTTAGGGAGTAGAAATAGGCCAGATGCCTTCACCTGTCTGTCTGCTTTTGCTAGAGGGTTTTAAGTTTCTTGGTCCCTAGACACTCTTTCTCCCTACTTCCAATTATCCCTACCTTTCTCATTAGAAAATGAGGGCAGAAGGGGCAAAAACAAATGCAATTCGTTTTGCTCATCAGATGGTTAATGTCAGGTTTATGAAGCGGGGTAAGCACAGGTTTGGTAGGCGAGGGCAGGATGGACACTGGTATTGATGGCTAGGTGAGTCCTGAGGGACAGCAGATAGGAGGGGGGCAGGGAGAGAGGAGAAACGGAGGGGCGTGTTCAATGATTGGCTCCAAGCCACCTTTTTCTTTTTTAACATAAGGCGGAGCAGACCAGAGGCTTCTCAGTAGAACCAGTCAAGCTGGTTTTTGAGCAGCCTTGGCCTATTTTCCTGTGTGCTCTTTGGGAAGTTGGCCATACCAGGGTCTGCCTCCTCTGGGGCTCTGCTCATTGAGGGATGAGTTTAGATGAGGTCTCTGAACTCCCCCAGCCCCTCCCAATACTGAACGGTCTCTGAGCCAGGCTTCTCTATATGAGCGGGCTCTCTCTACACCGAGGGCTACTCAGGGCAACTTTGTCTTACACCCCTTTCACTGGACTCTGTAAGATACAGCTCTTGTTCTTGAGCCCCCTTCGCAGGTCACAGCTTGGCAGAAGACCCTCCAGCCTGGCCAGGGAGAAGGGACTGGGTCTGTGGTTTGTGGATGGGGAACAGACTCCTGGCTGTTGTGATCTGGCAGCTAAATCCAGTAAGACCCCACACCTTTTGGCTTGATGCAGTGGGACTGTCTGTCCAGGCCTGCTGGGGAAGAAAAAAGGAGAGAATAGTTTTTGGTCTTTGGCAGCTCAGCAGGTACTTCAGCCACGCCAAACAGTGTGAGTTTGTTCCTGATCTGTACCTGTAGGAAAGGTGGGAGTCATCAGTCACCATGTGCTGGCACTTCCTGAACAGTGGCAGGAAATCTTTCTCTGGGAAAGGACATAGGATTCTGAGGCTCCTATGACCATCAGCGCTACTAATACAGCAGGATTGTTTTCCCAGTCCCCCACTAAACGGAAAACTCCCACGTTCGAAAGTTTGGTGATTAATGAGTGAAACCACCTGCAAACGTAGTTCCAGCCCTTGCCTCTGCCTTTGGGGACGGGCTGCTCCTGTCTCTACTACAATGATCTACTCATTGCTTCTCCTGAGCACCATTTCACTGAGGGTTTTGTTTTGGTTACTGATACCTGTATGGAGGGTGGCCCCCTTTTCCTGCACCTTCTTTAGACCCGAGGGTCTGCTGGCCTTCCCCTACCCCCCATCACTTCCCCACCTCCCCTCCACAGATGGCCATCATCTGAGTGTCTTTGCATGTCGTGTTGGATGCACTTGTGGCTTGTTGCTTTGTTTTTGCCCACAAGAGTTTGAATTACTGGTTCTGTAGTCACAGGAAGTGGGGCCCCTCAGGCCTGCTTGGTCTAGCAGTAGCATTCTAATTGAGTTGAGCCTATGGCAGAGTTGAAAAGAGATCCCAGTACTTGGGGACTTCCAATAAGAGGTGTGTTGTGGTTACAGCAGGCTCTACAGTTCAATTCCCTGTACTGGAATCTTGGACAGTCCCTACTATGACCTTGGGCTTACTTAATTGCTCCAGGCCTGTTTGCTCATCTGTAAAAAAGGAGTAATGATAGTACCTGTCTTGTAGGTATAGTTATTGTGAGCATTAAAAGGGGTAATGAATATAAAGCACCTAGAATAATGCCTGGCAGGACATAATCATCATTGTTGTCACTGTTCTAGTTGAGCGACTCAGTGAGTTTTGTCTGAGCACCACACAACTCTAGGTCAAGATATGTTGGAATTTCTCTGAATTGATTGAAAGAATCTTGGTTTCTTTTAGTCATTAGGGTCCCTTAGGTGCTTTTTCCAGCAGTTTTTTTTTTTTTTTAATTGTTTATTTTGGGCACCTGGGTGGCTCAGTTGGTTAAGCATCTGCCTTCAGTTCAGGTCATGATCCCAGGGTCCTGGGGTGTCGTCTGTTCCCCCCCCACCCCGCATCAGGCTCCTTGCTCAGTGGGGAGCCTGCTTGCTTCTCCCTCTCCCCCTGCATGTGCGCTCTCACTCTCTCTCTCAAATAAATGAATAAAATCTTTTTTTTTAAAAATTGTTTTAGTTCGTTGTTTTTTTTTGTTTTTTTGTGTGTTTTTTTTGTTTGTTTTTGTTTTTGAGCCAACCAGCTATCTGAATAGAATGCTGTTGGAGAGGTTTAGGTACTATGGAGATCAGTTTAAAAAATGGGGATGCATTTATTTACATGATATCAGTATGAGGTGATTTTAGCGATTAAAAAAAGAAAGAAACACCCCAAAACATTACCTTCTGCTTACCCATATTTCTGTGTTGTGAGTGGTGGTGGTGTATGTGCAGCCTCATCAGTGCCTGGAAGGCCAAGTCCAAAGTCACCAGAGCATGGGTTTTTCTGAGTGCTGGGATCCGGGTGTTACAAGAGGCCCGCTGAGCAAGCCCATGGGATTTCTTTCACGTTCCTTTCTTCAAGTGCAGTATTTACCCTTTGGCAACAGGAGAAAGTTCCCTGTTTTCTTAAAGACCACATGGGAACTGAGCAGGTTTTTAGGTTCCTTTTTCACTAGCAAAGGGGCCTTCAGGGGCCGGTCCTTATTATCTCTGTTGGCTTCCCTTAAGTGAGAAGAAAGCCCCCCCCCCCACCTTTGTGAGGCCTGGAAGGGTCGCAGCCATTTCTCAGCTGCTCCTAGGAGTTTGCAGACTTTGTATCTTGGGCTGAGATTTTGGTCTCAGTCGGTTCCTTGTTTATCTCTTGGGGCTTCTAGAGCCTGAATGCCTGGTCAGAACAGCAAGTAAGTTGCTTCGTTTTTTCACATTGCAGCTGCTGCCAAGGAGAAAGGTAACAGTGTCGCCTCAGAGCTCATCAGGGAATATTTCTTTCACTGTGTCTTCCTCTTCCTTTTGACCCCTCTGCTGACTTCTCTCACTTCCTTTTTTTCTGTTTGGTTTCTTTGAACTCTGTTCCTTCATTATCACTGTCCATCTCAGGCTTTCATCTCCATATCCCGTTCTGCCTGACCTGTCTTATGCCTCTTTTGTGGCATGGCCCAGGAGAGGAATTCTGATAGTCTGAGATCTCCTTCATGTCTAGAATCCCAGAACCACCCAGTCCTTTCTCCTATTCCTCTGATTTCTATAAAGTTAAGGATTTGCTGCTTTAGAAAACATTTTCTTTTTATGTCTCTGGAGCCACCTTCCTTAGTAAAGCCAGGCTTGGCAATGTGACAGTTTACTAGGGTCGGCATCCCAGTTTCCCTGGTGACAGGGTCTAAGCTAGTTCTGGGCTGTTTTCCTGTGGCCTGTCCGGAATGCTCCAACACTGGACCCTGGTCTTGAGAGAGATCTGAGGAGGCGCTTGTTAATTCTGGTAATGCGATATTGAATGTAGCTCCCGAAGTGTGGTTTGAGGACCCCGGGGCTCCCTAAGACCCGTTCGATGGTACGTGAAATCAAAATGAGTTTCATCACAACATTAATGCATTATTTGCCTTTTTTCACTCTTGTTCTCTTGATGTACAGTGGAGTTTTCCAGAGGCTGAATGATGTGTGCTGACATCATCACTCTTGACTAATGAAATGTGTGCTTATGTATTCTTGCATTTTCTGGAATGTTTAAGGTAGTCCTTGAAGGTATAAATATGGAAGTTTGCAATGATGAACTCAGTTTGTTCTCAGTATTTCTACTGTACTCTTACTAGCTGTCTTCAGTTGTGCCTGCTGTAATCCCTGTAAACCGCATTATTGTCCTATAAATCATTATTTTGAAATCCCAGCATTTTCCTGGCACCTTCGAGGAAACACAACAAGAAGTAAGTACAACTTGTAAAACTTACTTGTAAAAGCTTTGGGGAAAGCTTCTAATTTTAAAAATTTCATTTACAACTTATTTTAGCACTTTATTCTAAAACAGAGGAAAATTTATCATATTTTTCTTATATTTAAGGATGGATTGTTGGCTTTAATAAGGGAGATTAGAAGACTTGCAATCTCTGTTTACTGAAACGGACACATCAACAAGTGAATGGGAGGAATCTGAAGAATCTAGGCAAAACTGTTAATAAGAAATGAAAAGTTATTGAAAGAGTCAATATTATAAGGAAAGCCGTTTTATCGTATCTTATGCAACAGAACACGTCTGTGTAGTATTATAGTGCCAGTTAAGTTGCAACATCATGTCAAGACCAATCATTCAGAGCTTAAAGAAAAAGGAATTGAGTATTTTAAGTGTACACACCATGAGCTCCTTAAATAGCCAGAATTTGCTCCAGCTTTCCAACCTAGAAATGAAAAAGTCAGTGAATCTTACCAGATAAGTTTTGACATTGCTTTGGCTGGAAAGGCCCACCCAATAGCCGAGAGACTAATAAAGTCTTGAGCAGCAGACATTGCTGAATGCCCACTGGATGAAAAGTCAGTAAAATCCAGGGCAGGGGCACTTCATGTGTTACCATGACTCGTCGAATTAAAGATCTAGCTACAAATACAAAGACTGAGTTCCTATCTTGTTTGCAGAATCGTGCTGTTGCCTTACAAATGAGCAGATTTACAGACACGGCTCAACCTGTGTCCGCACCAACTACGCCTCAGAGAATTTTCTTTTATGTGAATGCTCAGCAGTGAACACAAGTAGTGATAAATATGCAAGGGGTTGAATAACTCCTTTGACTCTCACGGTTCATCCATTTGCACGACTGGTGCAGAAGCAATGGCAGAGAATATTGCCGCCATCATAACATGAATCAAGGCAGTGAGTGGCACGAGACTCTTACCAGTGGTGGTAGTCACAGACTTCTTTCCCACTCTGCGTGTGCAGTTAAAAAGAAGAAGAATCCGTTTTCACTTAAGAATGTCTTGGATGAAGCACTAAAAATTATTAATTTTTATTAAATCTCAACCCTCTAATAAAAGTCTCTTTAATATTTTGAGTGATGGAATGCCAAGGATCCTTGGAGCCTTGCTGCTGGATACCATAGTACAGTGACTATCTTGAGAAAATGCACTAGTGTGTTGGAGCTGAACCAGCTGTATGGATCATCATTTTTACTTGAAAGAACAACTGATGGATAAACTGTAGTTATTCATACTTGAATGTTTAGTGGACATTTCCTTGAAATTGAACAAACTGAGTCTGTCACGATTGCCAGTGATAAAATTCAAGCTTTCAGGCAAAAATGAGAATTTTCGAAAACTTCTTTGTCAAAGACTTTTTTGATGAGACCAGTTGTAAAATTAATGGAGTGTGATTTTTTGATATTGTATGAAATGTCAGTATTTGGAAATTCTGTATAATTCAACGAAGGAACATTTCCCAGATTGTTAGTAGGTAAAAGAGCCACTCAAAAAAATGCAAGATGACCAATGGATTTTAATGTTAAAGTACACCAAAAAAAATTCATTGATAAAATCTCAGATTGCACATTGCAACTAACTTTTAAAAAACTACTACTTTTGAGTTTTGGTGTGGTGTTGAAGAAGAAAAATTCTCAGTATCTGAACGGCTATTAAACTCCATTTTCCAACTACAGGTCTGTATGAAATGAGATTTTCTTTATGTCTTACAACAGAACAACAGATCGAAGCACGTCAAATGCAGAAGCAGAAGTCAGCTTTCGTCCATTAAGCCAGACACTAAAGAGATGTACAACAATGTAAAACAATGCAATTTTTGCCATGAGTTTAATTTTGTTTTAGAAAATACAGTTTTTTCACACAAAGATATAGGTTTTCCATATAAACATGTAGTGGGCTTATTATTTTGAATGAATTAATAAAAATATTTTTTTAAATTACCGTTTCAGTTTCTAATAAGGTAGCTATCGATAAGTATAACCCCCATAAACAAAAGGATTTCTACAGTCCTCGGTAATTCATTTAAAGAGTGTAGAGAGTTCTGGAGACCAAAAAATGAGAAGAACCTTTGTTTGTAGACAAAACTTGAGTTGATTGTCTGTCTTGGGTTGGTTACTTGCGATGACTTCATAAGGAGCCCTTGTTTACAATTCCGGCTGCTGTATAGTCCTGTCTGGGCCCCAGAGACTTTGACCCAAGCTAACTTATTTCCTTCTTGTAATACATACAGCATTGGCCCCTTGAGGTTTTTCATTGTTGTTTTATCTGTGGCTTGTTTATTCACCCTCCCTCTTTTTCCTTAATTTTTTTTTATTTTTCCCGTTTTCCCTTTCTCTTTATTCTTTCAAGTGCTCCTCATTTGTTTCTTTAGTTTTTTAGTGTGGGGTTTTTTGAGTTTTTGGTATTTTGTGTTTTGATTGGATTGTGAGATTAGTTCGTGGGGTGGACTTCCTTTGGTACTTGTGAAATTGTGGTTTGGCAAATAGTTTTTTGGTTTTTTGTTTGTTTGTTTTCATTAAAAATAAGTAACTCATGGGGCACCTGGGTGGCTCAGTCAGTTAAGCATCTGACTTTTGGTTTCAGCTCAGGTCATGATCTCGGGGTCGTGAGATCAAGCCCCACATGGGGGTCGGCGCTCAGTGTGGAGTCTGCTTGAGATTCTGTCTCTCCCTCTCCCCCTCCCCCTCTGCATGTGCATGCTCTCTCAAATAAATAAATAAATCTTAAAAAATAATAAGTAACTCATGTTTACATGTAATGGGTTTATTATGTTGTTTTAAATGGATGGATACATATTTAAGTCTTTTCTCATTTCTAATACAGTAAATTTTTTTTTTTAAGATTCTATTTATTTGAGAGAGAGAGAATGAGAGATAGAATGAGAGATAGCACGAGAGGGAAGAGGGTCAGAGGGAGAAGCCGACTCCCTGCTGAGCAGGGAGCCTGATGTGGGACTCGATCCCGGGACTCCAGGATCATGACCCGAGCCGAAGGCAGTCGCCCAACCAACTGAGCCACCCAGGCGCCCCTACAGTAAATGTTAATAGACACCGTCCATATAAACAAAAGCTTTTGGGGGGACTCCATTATTTTTAATAGTTGGAGAGAATTTCTGAAACTAAAAAGTGTAAGAATCACAGATGTAGACAAAACTTGGATTAATTTTCCCTGGCTTTGGCTGGTTGATTTCTTGGTAATTTCATAAAAAACCATTTTGCAATTCCCAGCCCCTGTTTAGTCCTGGCTGTGCCTCAGAAAGGCACTTGCCGCCTTGGTTTGCTGTCATTCTAGCTGAGGAAGCTGGTTCTCAGTGACCTGAAGGACTTTGACCAACGTTGGCTCATTTTCTCCTTCAAATACAGAGCATTGACCTTGTGAGGTTTTTTTAAACAGTTAATTTTCTTTAAAAAATTTTGAGATAATCTTAAATTTAGAAAAGTTGCAAAACTAACCCAAAGAGTTCCTGTACATTCTTCACTCGGCTTCCCCTTGCGTTAACATCTTATATTACCACAGAACGTGTATCAAAACTAAGAATTAACCTTGGTATAATACTATTAACCACAGTACAGAACTTGTTCAGATTTCATCAGTTTTTCCACTGATGTGCTTTTTCTGTTTCAGGACCCACTCCAGGCTCCCACATTGCATTTAATTGTCACATCTCCATAGTCTCCTCAGATCTGTGACCATTTCTTAGTCTTGCCAAGTCTTTTATGACTTTGACAATTTTGAAGAATACTGGTTAGTTTATAGAATGTTCCCTAAATACGGTAACCTGAAATTTTCCCATGGCCTTATGCTCTAATTCCGTTTTTTCATTGTGGTAAAATACACATAAAATTTACCATTTTAATCATTTTTAAGTCAAGTGGCATTAAGTACATCCACAATGTTATATAATCATCTACTATTTCTAGAAATTTTTCATCATCTCAAACAGAAATTCTTTATCAATTAAACAAGAACTCTCATCTCCCTCTCCCCCAGCCTCTTGGCAACCTTTATTTTACCTTCTATGAATTCGACTACGCTAGGGACCTCATGTAAGTGGAATCATACAGTATTTGTCTTTTTGTGTCTGACTCCTTACACTTAGCATAATGTTTTCAAGGTTCATCCGTGTTGTAGCTTTCATTACATTTTAAAAGTTCACTCAGGAGTTGCCTGGTTGGCTCAGTCAGTTCAGAGTCTTGGTTTTGGCTCAGTTCATGATCTTAAGAGATTGAGCCCCACGTACTCAGCAGGGGGTCTCCTTGAGATTCTCTCCTCCTCCCTCTGCCCCCCCCACACTTGTGTGCGTGCGTGCTCTCAAATACATACATAAATCTTAAAAAATATGTTCACGCGGGTTTTACTCTGATGATATTTAGTTGATGTTAGTGTAATTATTAAGACGTGTGGTTGTAATGGGCTTAGTAATATTTTAAATGAATTAATAGTTTAGCATCTTCTCAGTTTTAATTATAATAGTCGTTATAACCCACATAAACAAAAGCTGTTTGAGGTCCTTAGTAGTTCAGAGTGTAAAGAGAGTGTAAAGGGTTTCTAGACATAAGTGTGAGAGTATCTTTTGTAGACAAGCATGGGGTTGATCATCCCTGTCCTCAATCGGTTGGTTACTCGATGTGACCTCATACTGAGCCTTTGTTGTGCAATTCCCTGAGTGCTGGCTGGGCTGCAGGAACGTACTTGCTGCCTGGGTTTGCAGTTGTTCTAGCTGAGGAAGCTGGTTCTCAGTGACCCAAGGGACTTTGACCAAAGTTGGCTCTTTTCCTCCTCCTAATATGGAGCATTGGCCTTTTTTTTTTTTCTCTTCCCATTAAAAAGATCATTTGGCTTACTTGGATTTCATTTTCACAGATTTTTTTTTTTTAAGCTTATGCATTGGCTATTGGTCAATTCCAAATTTGAAAACTGCAAAGCTTGCTTAGCTTCTATCCTTGAAGAACCTTGGTGCCTGTAATAGTTGAAGGCCGGTAGGCTCCAGTCG